AGCTGTTCCTTGAGCTTTCCCAAGGGATCCTCTCCAACCCCAGCATATCAAGGTACAGTACTTACCGGATAAATATGGTGTTTTCACTAAAACAAATCCTGGTGAACACCATGGCCTCCACAGCATGGCACAAGTAGTAACTCAAGTGGCAGTACTCCTTAAAGAACGCACATGTATGCAGGGATGTCTTGCTTCAGTGGAATACAATACTGTTTTTGTTTTTAAATTTTTCAATTACAGTTGACATTCAATAACAATGCACTGTTTAGAGCACAACTTTCCAGGATATCTGATTCTGATTCATGTCTTTGAGGTCATAACTGTAAATTGTAAATAACTGATAATACAAATAAATCTTGCCAATATCCATGCAAATACTGTTAGGTGAAGGGTTTCAGATTCCTCAAGGGAAAAGCCAATTTCACAGCCCTTTGCAAAGACATTTCTGCAATCCTGTTTTTTTTTACTTCTTTGAACAGGTTGTAACATCAGTTCTGGTTCCCTTTATTTAATTAACTTGTTAATTGAATTTTTCTGTTCATTTTATTTTTTCAGCTTTATTGAGATACATGATGATGAAATGTTTGTTTTATAGCTGCATGACAACCATAATTTTCCTTTTTTGAAAACTATATTTCTGATGTATCAGTCAGGGTCCTGGGACAGGACATGAGAGCACACTCCAAAGGGGAACTGAAGGGGAAGGGACTACTTACAGAGTTGTGGGCAGAGGTAAGCAGCTAGGGCTGGTGAGCACCCTAATTAACAACAGGGAGAAACTGGTACCACCTCTAGGGCTTACTAGTCAGAGGGAGGGAACAGTAGCCACACTTAAGAGGGACACAAATCATGTCCTGGCAGGGGAGTAAATACCATGACTTTCTTCTCCTCTTGTCCTCTAGTTACAGAATAGAAGGAGTTTGTCCACTTGGTACTAGTGGAGCCAAATGCTAAACACAGAATAGCACCAGACCCATATTGGCTATTTTACTACGAACAGTGGTCCAGGAGAACGGGAAGCTAATGCTCAAAGGCCTGAACTCCCCAAAGGCATGTAGGTTATAGAACACATAGGGCAAAATCACAAGTCATTGTGGGTTAGGGGTTCAGGGCTGTACTGGGAGCTGATTTGTCTGAGGTAAGGTAAGGGTAATGAATCGTTTTCAGGTCTTAAGGACAGTTCTGAGATCTTTTCTGGCCTCCCTCTGTCATGTCTCAGGGGAAAGCAGCCAGGCGTTTGTTCCAGCTTAGGGCTCAGAATGTGAAACATAACTTAGGTCAAGATGTTATATTTAGCCTGCCAGAGGTTCAGACCTGGTGACTGTCAGTCAGGTCCAGGCTGCTGTCTGCTGCTGCCTTGGAGTTACCGATCATCCTGGGTAAAGGCTAGGTCTCTGAGGGATATATATATATATATATATATATATATATATATATATATATATATATATGGGGGTGTTTTAGAGCTAGGCTTTAAAACTGAATTTAATCAAAGTCATAATGCTCTTGGTTTCACTCTGAGCCCCACGAAGCCAGAAGGTGATGGAGACGGGGTGACACAGACTAGCTTGTTTTCCATTGCTTTTTCCACTCTCCAGTCAAATCCGCTCAGCGTGAATCAAGTTCCCAGTGAATTGGAGGATCTGGCCCAAGTATGACACATACAAAGATTTTCATTGTCTCAGCATATCATTATACTTTATATTTGCATAGTTAAATATAGACTATTAGCCCTTTAGTTATGTTTATATGAGATTACTCCCCCCTCCCAAAATAGATACCACCCTTTGATTACTGTTCTCTGTACATCTTACAGTCTTTTGTCCATACTGCTTCCTGAGTGTAAGATATTATTTTTGTAATAGTCTTAACAACCACCATGTTAACAGATATCTGAAAAAATATTTAATGTTCTCTCAAGCTTCTGGGCTCTAAGGCTTTGATCAAGAAGCAAAAAAGTTGATGTCATTTTCTATGTGTTCTCATATATTCATTCTTTGTATATTGGGTGGAACCTTGTGAATATACTTTGGAGAAAAGGGAATACATGCTATAAAACACTGGTTTCTAGGGGAATAACCTTGCTAAAATAAACCTCAAGGTTTCTGCTGGGCCTTTGTTCTTCCACGAAAGTTAATGTCTAGCTGAGCACCTGGACACGCTGGGGTGGAAAGCAGCTAGGGTTGCTCAGAGTTGTGAACAGAGGTTGAGGGAGTTGAATAATACTGAGCGTCCTGGTGTGAGAAGAATTTGGTGTTCAGGGAGTGGTCTAGAAGGAAGAAGAGGAGAAAGGAGAAAGGCAACGTGAAGGAAGGCTGGAAAAGAGTTGTAGAAATGGTTGAGGGACAAATTTAAGGAGGTCTACTATTCAATTTCAAGTCGTTTCCTACCAGTCCTTTGGTAAAGTTGTCCTCAGGCCAAACATGTGTGACTGGTTCTGATAAAATCCTAATAAGGAAATAATTGTTAAAAACAACAATAATGATAAATAGATGCTATTTATTGAGTAGCTCTAGTATGTCCTGGGCATTGTGCTGACACAGAGAGCTATACCATCCAGGTCACAGTTACATGGTGAGACAGACACTATCCTCCCCTTCAGGTGAGAAGACTGAGGCTCAGAGAGGCTAAGTAACTCACTCAAGGCCCCATAGCCAGCACATCACAGAACCAGGATTTGAAATTAGAACCCAGGCGCTTTTGATTGCACTACACTGCTTCCCCATAATCCTCTCCGTACCAGCCTTATAAAGCAGTTGTCTAGGCTCTAATGGTAATGGACAAGAACCCCTACCTCCTTAAGGCTGCCCATTTCACAGTACAATGGCTATAACCACTGAAAGTTTTCCCACATGTGAGTCAGGTCTAGCTCCCTAGCTTCCACCCAGAAGTCCTCCATCTGCTGCCTGACCCAGTGAGAACAAACCTAATTATTCTTTCACAGAGCAGGCTCTTAATATTCAAAGATATGGTATAAAATTCTACCATGTTGGACCCTACAGTATATTCTGTGCAAGAACAGGCATATCTAAAAGGGATCCTATTTGAACTGCATTTGGCTTTATTCCCAATCATGTAGAACATTACTAATAACTAGTACATTAGCAGACATTCAACAAATATTCATAGAATGGATGAAGGCGGGCCAGGTTGGGAAGGTACAGAGTATGGTTCGTGGGGCAGCAAACATAAATGAGATACTGTTCCCCCTTCGATTACGTTCTCTGCATATCCTAATCTTATGTTCCTACTGCTTCCTGTATTTTTATCAAAGTCTTAACAACCACCATGTTAACAGATACATGAAAAAATGATTAGAGGGACCAGTTTCAGAGACTGTGTTAGTTCTGCTTCCACCCCATCTCCCCAACCACCTACCTTGTTTCTAGGTGGTCAATGTTCTTCAAGCTAAACTGTGGGATGAATACACCCTAAAAAGAGACTCTCATCTCACTCTATTTTTACAGAACCCAAGATCTGACCACTATGGAGAAATGAATTGTCATTGTATACCACAAATATATACTATATATTTATGTCACGGCAGCCATTCCAGAGCAACTGTATTGTTTGTCTTACTCCTTGAACCTTTGGAATGTTTGAACTAGGCAAAATAACCTTCCTTCCTTCCTTCCTTCCTTCCTTCCTTCCTTCCTTCCTTCCTTCCTTCCTTCTGTTTATGCTATTACAGTTATCCCAATTTTCCCCCTTTGTCCCCCTCCCCCACAATAACCTTTAAACTGAGCCAGAGCAGCACTGTTTTCCAAACAACTGCTTGTAAAGCTAACAGGAGAGCAGGCTTCCTGAGTACAAGGACTGATAATGAAAGACATTTTTTAGAATCAGTAAATAGCCATACACATCTGAAAAATAACTTAGCTTAGTAGTACCAGTAGAAATTCCTCCTATTCATGTACTTCCTCCTCTTCTCATAAAAACCCCTTGCCTTCACCCCCTAATCAGAATGCTAGCTGGGTTTTTGCCCAAACCAGTGCTTCCAGAATATTTATTTGTTGTGATCTCAAATAAATGCTTGCTGCCTCTTACTTTGGCTTTTTATCTTCAGTTTTTTTAAAAATTATATATATAAACTTCACACCCATGGAAAAGTAATTTTTTTGCATCTAAGATTACTATAAAGCACTGGGGGGAAATATATGGGGAAGTAGCAGTGAAGAGGAGGGACAGCGGTGTTTTTCACTGTAGACTATATTCTTTGCAGCTCTGTCTATGCAATTAAACCAGTATTATAAACTGTCTAGTCTTATATTCACTATTTAGACATCTGGAAAGGGTGGAGCAGCCAAACTGTGACCCTAGAATGACAGTTACAGAGATGGGCCGTCAGAGTGCAGGGATCCTTTAAATACATTGCTGATTATGCCAAGAATGACTGCAGATAATGCTTCAAGTTGCCTGTCAAAGATCTCTGGGGACTGTTATCACTGATATTATTTAGAGCCACACTCCCCAGTGTTCACCATTCGTATTCAAGTACCACTGCAAGGGTCATCTCCCGAAACACTCTGGGTCTCAGTTTCTTCACCTGTAAATGTGGGGTTCACATAAAGAGGAGTTTGTGGAACGCACACTCAGCAAGACCCGCGGTGTTTGGAAGCGGAGCGCAGGCCCGTCCTTGAGCCTTCTGGCTGAGGCAGAGGAAGCAGGAAAGTGGGATCTGTCCCAAAATGACTTGGGTGGGGGGTGCCCCTCACCGCCAGTGCGACTTAGTGGCCCCCGTCTTTTTAGGCTTTTCGGCAGCGGGCTGGGACCGCCCTGATCGGAGGAGGCAGCCCCGCGGCCTGGCCGCCCCACGCGCCCAGGGACTTCCACCCGCTCCACCAGCGTTAACCCGGCCGCACTTCGGCTTCGCAGCGGCCCCCGCGCGCTCCCCGCCTCCCCACGTCCCTCCTGGGATCCAGCCCAACCGCGCTGGGGGGCGGGCCCCGGCGAAGGGGGCGGCGGCCGCGGTGGTGACAGTCTCTGACAGATTCCCCGCCCCCACGGCTCGCCACGTCCCTCACGTACAGCTCCGCCGCGGAGCGGCCACCTGGCGCGGAGCTCCGGCTCCTCCGGTGGGGCTCGCTCGTAATGAGGCTGGTGCGGCTGCTGCGCGGAGCCGCCTCGGCCGGCCCGGGCCCGGGGCCGCGCTCCGTCTGCCCCGGCGCCAGCCGCAGCCTCACGTCGGGCTCGGGCTCCGGCCTGGCGCCGGAAGGCGGCGTTCCGGGCCAAGTGGACTTCTACGCGCGCTTCTCGCCGTCGCCGCTCTCCATGAAGCAGTTCCTGGACTTCGGTGAGTGCGGCCCAGGCCTAGGGCCTTTGTGCGCGGCTTCTGTCGCCTCTGAGCCCAGCTCCTGTTCGACGTCCGCCTCCCCCCACCCCCCCCACCCCCGCCCATGGGCCTTCGGTGCTTCCTTCCTCTCTCGAGGGCAGATCCTGATGCTCAGGTGTGTAACTGGGGGAACACGCCTTTTTTACTGTGTGTTGTTGAAAAACCTAAAGGGCCGCGGGGGGAATTACCGTCCGCCTAGCAGCGCACGTGCCCGGGTCTACCCTGGTGGCCAGGTCCCTCCCCAGGACCCCTGCTGCGGGAGAGGACACCTCTTGGCGTCGTGTTCGTGTGCGGTTTCTGCAGATTGATGATAAATGCCCAGTTTTGTGTGATGATTGCATCAACTTGGTAGGACGATCGGGGAGGCAGGTTATGACTGGCCCAGTGTTTCCTAGAATGTTTTTTTTTGTTGTTACTGGCTTGACTTTTTCCACCAATAGCACGTTCATTTCATCATCAGCAAAGTAAGTCGAGCACGTGTAAAGTGCATGAGCACAGGACGCTGGGGTTTACCACATTTCACAGCCTACCACATTTCACACCCGTAGAGGCAGGCGACTATCCACTTTCCTCCTTCTCTGATGGGTGCTAACATTCTAGAAGGAATGTAACAAATTCCAGAAGAATTTCAAAGTTAGGCTTTTAACTTTGACTTCTCATGAGAGGGCATTGAGAGGAAAAGGAAAAACTCTAATACACTCTAATGAAGTCATAAAATTTAAGTAGAAAAAGCTGTCTGATGCATGATCTGTTAGGTCACTAACAGATCACCAGTGGGCTTGAGAGATGTTGGCGTGGCTGGCAACTTTATCTTAAAATTGTGGTTTACAGTGGCAGGGTTTTTTTCCCCTTGGCTCAAGCCCTCGGTTTTTGTTTACTTTAAAATGACTCCATTGTGCTTAAGGGGTGAATGTGGCCTTGTTCCCAAGTATGCCATTCACCTTCAAATGTTTTCCTTTAATCCTGTAATTCCTGCTGTTGCAATCTAATTTTTGCTAAGGTTGTCTCTTGCTGAAACAGTAAGATTAAATTAGTGAGTTTTAAATGTATTGCTGCAATAATCTAATTTTTTATGGAAAATTAACTTTAAATGGACCTGCTTGCCAGAGGACGTTCTACAACTATTTTGCTTAACATCCTGACACAGGCGTGGAGGAGTGAGCAGGCTGCTTTCCAGGAATTAGACAATTGAATGGGACTTGCTGGGGGCGACACTGGAAGAAGGTTGCTGACAGGCATTGGTATCTTTTTGCTTTTCATTTCTTAAAAGCCCTTCTGTGCATTTACTCTTTGGTGATGGGAATTAGTATAGTGGTTCTCGTGCACATGACAACATTTCTGTTTCGTAGACGGGTATCACTTCTTATAAACCTGGACTTAGGAAACATGTTCTAAATTATGGCAGCAAGTTTGTATCGGGTAGGCTTTGCAGGTGCTGTTGATCAGACTCCTCATTTTGCCCAGACTTGCTCAGGTTGCCTTAGTTCTAAGGCAGGAGATCACAGTGAGGATGCAAGTAATGGAGACAGGAAAGTGTCTTCATTGCTCCACAAAGTGCTTGTAATGTCAGGAATCGGAAGGTTATTCAGGATTCCCTAGAGACTGGGTTATCATCTCACCTTCTCTTTACTTACCCTGTAATTATGGTGATGCTACCCCTCTGAGGTTTCTGGCTGAATAACCCCCTGTGTTTCTCCCTACTTTTTGGTTTCTGCTGCCTTATGGCTTCCACTTACTGCTGTTCCCACTGTGTCTGGTTTCAGGATCCATGAATGCTTGTGAAAAGACCTCATTTATGTTTCTGCGGCAAGAGTTGCCTGTTAGATTGGCAAATATAATGAAAGAAATAAGTCTTCTCCCAGATAATCTTCTCAGGACGCCGTCAGTTCAACTGGTACAAAGCTGGTAAGATTCCCGTTTGCAGTTTTCTAAACTCAAGGCTAAAGCAAATCCTTTTTTACTTTTTAGTGGAATCTTAAGATAAGTAGCAGTGTTCTAATCCTCCTTTTTCAGGGTACGTCTGGGCTTATCCCCAGAATCCTGGGTTCTGCCACTCCTTGGTTTTGAGAAAAACAATGAACTGCACAGAAATGCAGACACTAAGTTTAAGATTTGTGTTATTAAGCCTGCAGGGATGTTATAGTAATAACAGCTACCACTGTTGAAGTGAGGGGTTTACGTACAGTACTTTTAATCCTTTCCACACCCCTGCTCAGTAGACAATGTCAGTAGACATTGTTATCTTCATTTTACAGATGAGGAAACTGGCTCCGGCAGATAAGTTTTTTGTCTACGCCAGTACCACTCAGACCAGAGCTGGGATTCAAACCCAGAGTTTGTTTCTACCGCACCATGCTGCAGTGAGAAAGGTGGAATGTATTAAAGCATGCATATTTCTTATAAACTAAATTTATTTATTGAAGTGTATCTTTATAAGTCACAAAAGGTAAATGATTGTTTTAAATCACTTTAAAACAATTAGAGGTTATGGGATAGTGTAGAAACTGTGATCTCTCTTCTAAAAAATGATAATAGAGTTATGAAGGAGTATACACCACATGTGGCCACTTAAATACAGATGTTCTTGTTATTAATTTAATAGTCTTATTCTCTTAATCACTATATATTTCAGACAAAATAGTCATGCCAGAGTTGTCTTTTTTATTGATTGATTGCCTGATTTTATTTATATTTAGAGAGAGGGGAGGGGAAGGAGAAAGAGGGAGAGAAACATCAATGTATGGTTGCCTCTCGTGGGCCCCAAACTGGGGACCCTTTGGTTTGCAGGCCTGTGCTCAATCCACTGAGCTACACCAGCCAGGGCCTAACGTCAATTTTAAATAATAAGTGAAAGAAGTATGACTGCTATATACTGTCGACCTTTCAACAACATGGGTTTGAACTGTGTGGGTCCACTTGCATGCAGATTTTTTTCAATAAATACAGTTAATGTATTTTCCTTACACTTTTCTTGAAAACATTTTATTTTCTCTAGCTTACTTTACTGTAAGAATACAGTATATAATATATATAATCTACAGAATATGTGTTTGTTGACTGTGTTATTGGTAAGGCTTCTGGTCAACAGCAGGTTATTAGTAGTTAACTTTTTGGACAGTCAAAAGTTACATGTGGCTTTGTGACTGGAGTGCAAAAGGGTAAGGAGTCACCAGATGTCTAACTGTGGCCTAATTCCCTAGTTGTTCAAGGGCCAACTGTGTATGATGATAGATGCCATATGGTCCAAATGTGGAGCAATTACAAACATTTAAGGAAGAGACATTTGTTTAGAAACTATGATGGAGTATAAAGGAGAACAGAATTTTCTCTGAAAGCTTACTCCTTTTTAAAAAAATTATTAAAAATAGTGTATGCTGCATTTAAAAAACTGATCTGTATATATAACATGTTCTAAGTATTCAAATCCCTCTTGAATAAAGAGCACAGTTTTTCTTGCCAGTGAAGTGAAAGTTAATGGTTAAAGCAAAGCAGTAGATATCAGAATCATTTGACTTTGGAATGTGGAGAGGCAAACTGCTTGTCAGCACCGGCTTTCCAGACCAACATATGGATTTACAGATTTTTTAAAAACGCTTTCATTGCCCCAGACTCCTGATGACCTTTTACTCTTTTTTTTTTTTTCAATCCTCACCTGAGGATTGATTTATTGATTTTAGGGAGAGAGAGAGTGGGGGAAGGTGGGGAGAAAGAGAGAAACATCAATCTATTGCTTCTCACGTGCACCCTGACACAGGGACTGAACTGGCAACCTAGGTATGTGCCCTGACCAGGATGGAACCCACAACCTTTTGGTGTACAGGATGATGCTCCAACCAACTGAGCCACCCAGTACCCGGTCAGGGCCAGAGCTGACGCTCTCGAAGGTCATTGAATGGTAGTGAAGTATTTTTAGCTCTCGCTCTGCACTGCCGTTGTGCTTTGTGGCATGACCTTGGGAAAGCCATTTGGCTGTCTTTATTTTCCTCCTTTCTCCACAGGTGATTTGCACCCTTGAATTGTTAGATAAATTAAAACCTACATTTTCATGACTTTTGTGTTTTTCTTCAGTCTTGTTTAAAAGAACTATGTGGTATAGCTTCAGGAGCTCCAGAGTCTTCAGGAGCAAATATTTGTTGATTGGACATAAACATCTAAAATTAAGGTTTAAAGTAGAGACATTTAAGTTAGACTCCAAGGTTGGCTGGGCTCTACATTTTACTAGGACTAAGACAAGTTAAGTCAGTTGCTCATGACTACATAGTTATTGGTGACAGACAGTTCCCATGGCAGTCATTATTTATGCTATAATGTGTAGTGGTAAATTTAAAGAATTTAAAAGCTGTTTTAGAGTATAGAAGTTTAAAAAGTAAAAGGGGCAGGAAGCCTCACAATCCTTCAATCAAATTTAACCTGTGTTTTTAGGAGAAAACTTGTACTTTCTACTAGTTTGTGCCAGGAACTTTGCTAAAATGTGACTGGGTATAAAAATCCTACTTCATCCTAGCTAGGTGGCTCAGTCGGTTGGAGCATCATCCCATACACGAAAAGCTTGCAGGTTTGATTCCTGGTCAGGTCACATACCTAGGCCATTGGGGCACATACAGGAGACAACCGATCACATTGATGTTCCGCCCTCCCTCACTCCCTCCTTCTTTCTCTAAAATGAATACAAACATATCCTTCGGTGGGGATTAAAAAAATTTACTTCAATCATAATTTAATTTATAGTGCTATTCTAAAGTAAAAATTACAAAATGTTAAAAATACCTTTTGAGCATTTTTACAATATTGAAGTCTCAAGATATAAAAGAACAAATTTGCCTTATTCATTTGTATTTTAGGTATATCCAGAGTCTTCAGGAGCTTCTTGATTTTAAGGACAAAAGTGCCGAAGATGCTAAAGCTATTTATGAGTAAGTATACTATTTTGATCTTTATTCTGAACATAATTTTTGTACCCTTTAAACATCATATAAAAATATAAATGTATTGAGCTTAAACCAGCTATTGGATCATGTTAGGGAAATTGATTCACTTTCAGTTTCCCACTACTCTAGAACACATGTCAGTGTGTTTCTCTAAAGTAGCCTACACAGGCAAGGCAGTTAACATAAACCAGTAAATTGTTCTGGGAATGAAAAACACTTCATGTTCCTCTGAACTCCAGTTGGAGAAAAGACTGAATCATCACACAGTTCAAGTGTGATGTTCAACAGATGTCTAGCTGTGGCCGTAATGCCACTTGGATACAACGTGAGGACTCGGCCTGCAGCGGATGTGCACCTAAAGGCAGCCACCTCAGCTGCAGCGAATTATTACCATACCGACACGCTGCCCAGGTCATCTGAGTTTTTTGTGTGTGTAAAGAAAAGTCAAGTCTACATTTTTAATGTAAAATCTTCCAATTTCGAACTGGATTCACAGGTAATTAAAAGTTTTAAAAAATACTCCAGGCCTATAAAAACACGGTGGTGGGTCTCTTGTTTACGACCTATAGTCTGGAAGATGCTGTAAGTAATATGGCCACTTTAATAACCAACATACCAGAGCTGATATACCCAAGAAGTCCCCTCAGGCAGTTACCTGATTATTCTAATGAATGTTCCTCAAAAGTTGGAGACCACCTCTTCTGTCGTTTATACACATTTTGACTGTCTTTAGAGGCAGCAGCAACACCTCACTTTGTAAACATGGTTTTGGTCTGAAAATAACATCAAGATTTACTCTGTGCCTATGTGTGCAGCACATTTTTTATGAATGATGCCATCCAATCATTAAAACAATTAAATTGAGATAGTGCTATCTGTCTGCACAGAGAGGTTAAGTACCTTAAGGTAGCATAAAGGTCATAGAGCTGGCAAATGGTGGGATCAAGATTTGGACACAAGTAGTCTCAAAAGTAAATATTATGTTACTTTTATGTTATATGGATTATGCTATGGAACCTTCTGGAAACAGTCATTCAGAGCAGTCAAGCAGAATAATATTGTTTTGTGTTTTGTAAAAAAAGGTAAAATAAACTAATAAAGGGGTGACTAGAAATAATGAGATGTTTGCTGTTTTTGAGGAGTTTTATTGTTTGTATTTTGGATTAATAGCTTGATTTTGAATCTAATTACAAACTAGGAATTTCAAAGATGTTTTCAGCAGTGAGAGCATCATCGGAATAAGTTAATAGTACTCAAGATGATGACTTTGAACGGGAAAGCACTCATCTGAAAGTGTAAATTCTGATGAATATGTCACAAATTGGATTTCGTTGCTTCATAATTAAAACTTCTTTTCTCTTTTACTTAGTTCTTTAAATTACCCATGCAAGAATGTGTTCTAATCTAAATGACAGAAATGAGGCCAGATGACTTGAAAATTTTTCTTTTCACACAACAATTTACTTTTCTTCTCCCTTTTTTAAACTTATAGGATGAGCAAAATTAGAATTCTTTCCTACTTTTCTGTTCTAAGTGGTCCTTTCTCTCTTTGAACCCTAGGGAATAGCTCCAGAGCAGACAGGCTGTACTGGCTCATTCATCTTCACTCCCTACAGAGCAGGTGTTCCTGAGAAGCAAGTGCTCTGTGTCCTCTCACACTGACTGCCCCCGTCACCTCCCTCACAGTGAGCGCTCAGACGGTCTTAGTGGTAATGGTTAAAGAAGGCCGTAACATTTTTAGGATTATGCTTTGGTTCAGCTTTGCTTTGAAGACTTCCAAGAATATAATTAAATGTCAAAAGCTTTATTTTGGAAGTCCTTACACCTTCTCAGATTCAGTGTATTTTATGATCTGAAATATATTTATGTAAGTGTAGAAAAACATGCACTGAGACCCCTTTTCCTGAATTAGGGATCTCTTGCCTGGTGTAGTTGGTTAAACTTAGATTTTAGTACTAAATTGATGTGTCATAATATTGGTCTGTTTTGAGAGACAGGTTTGCTTAGCTTTACAGATACTGTGATACGGATCAGGAACCGTCACAATGACGTTATTCCCACGATGGCTCAGGGTGTGATTGAATACAAGGAGAGCTTCGGGGTGGATCCTGTCACCAGCCAGAATGTTCAGTACTTTTTGGATCGCTTCTTCATGAGCCGAATTTCAATTAGAATGTTACTCAATCAGCACTGTAAGTGTCCAGAAAGGCAAGAAAAGAAGCTAAATAATGTGTGTTGGTATATTTTAAATTTTTTAGCAAACTTCCCTTTAACAAGAATGTTCAGTTTTACTTTTTTTGCATATTAAAAAAAGTAAATGCATTCCCATACAAAATAGGGTTTTTGCTTGTTTGTTTTAATGTGAAATACTGTGTTTATGTTTAAGAAGAATGTTCTGTTGTTTGGTACCATTTAGGGAAATAGTTTTCAGATCTGGAAAAGAGCATTGGCTATTTTAGCTTTTTTTTTGTCTTTGATATTTTATTTCTTGATAGCCTTATTGTTTGGTGGGAAAGACAAAGGAAGCCCATCTCATCGAAAACACATTGGAAGCATAAACCCAAACTGCAATGTAGTGGAAGTTATTCAAGGTAAATACTTACATTTCTCCTTTCAGAAAGCATGCAGAAATCAAAATTGTTGAGTGTTAGTTCTTGCTATTAAAACAACTATTTATCTTATGAGATAAAAATGTTAGGAGTGAATGTATGGGTTTGTAAATAACTTTACATTGTTAACTGAGCCTTATGCATAGGATGAATATGTATCTTGACACAAGTCTTTGTTAGGCAAAGTAGAATGATACTATGAGGGTATCTGTTTCACTTCAAAAATTTTGAGCTCCCTTCCCCCTTTCTAATTCCCTATTGTAGGAGCCATAATTCATAGTAGTTTGGTGTGCATCTTTCCATACCTTTTTCTGTTTATACCGCATAAACATGTACATGTACATGAATGTTCATCTTACATTGTTGGTTTTGGAAAATGGGGTTCTCTATGTATGTTTTTCTACAAGTTTACAGACATTATATCATCTTCGGCACATGTGACTGTACCCCAGGTTTTTGAATGGCCATATAGATGTATCAGAATATATCAATCCATCTTCCTTTTGATGCTTATATGGTTTATTTCCATTTCTTTCTTATTGCTAACAATGCTGCAGTGAACATTTTTAGATAGCACTGACTTTTGCTAGTATTTTAGAAAGGAATTAAAAACATTTAAAGTGCATTTAAAATTTTGACAGCCCCCATAAGGTATGAAACAATGAATGAGAGTGTCTATTTCTTAAACCCTCACAAACTCTAAATGTTTGTTATATATATTGTAAATAATTTCTTCAGTCTACTGTTTCTCTTTACTTTGTTTATGGGGGTTTTTTTGTATCTGTCATTTTTCCTTTATGGCTATTAGGCTTTGTCATGTCATATTTAAAAAGATCTTCCCCAAACTAAGATTTTTAAAGTATATTTTCTGCTACAGAAAACTTCAAAATTTCATTTGTCAATATTCTTGCTATCTTAATGCATGAAACAGATGTAAATTTACTTAATGATTTTTGTTTGTTTGTTTTGACTTATACTAGATGGCTATGAAAATGCTAGGCGTCTCTGTGATTTGTATTATATTAACTCTCCTGAACTGCAGCTTGAAGAACTGAATGGTAAGCCTGATGTCGTCTTCTCAATGATCAGCATTACAGTTACGTAAGAAGGAATGATAAGAATAATTTAGATTTGTTGTAATATAAAAACACTTCTTCATTGGCTGTGAAAACTGAGGGAGAGCAGTCATGTTAAAGAATATTTGTGTGTGTGTAGTTAATGTAGTTGGATTCTTTCTGAAAGATATTTTGTTTTTTTCTCCCCTGTTTAAAATTTTTTTAATTGTTGTTATTGGTGATAATAATAATTCTTTGCTTATCTTTTGGTTTTCTGGTTTGAAAAAAATAGGAAAAAGTGATACAAGAAAATTACATTTGACTTTCATATACACTGCTGTAATGCAAGGTTTACCCTTGAAGATTTTTACTTCCTGAGTTATAAATCATTTTTTACTGTTTGGGAAGTAAGAAAGAGTAGAGGTGTAGAGGAAGAAAGAATGACACTCATTTATTTGAGAATCTGTTTATTTCTGATAGCCTTTTTTTCTGATTCAGTACCATTTGGACAAAAAAGGTTGAGGTGCCTTGGAAGGAGATTGATGAGTCTCACTGTTTCTCCTAGAGGTGGGGTGATTTAGAAGAGGGAAGAACATTTCCTAAGTTAACATGACTCTTTAGGAAGAAGATAGTTAAAGTGCCTTTACTAAGTTGTATTCTGGATAGCAGTGGAAGAAGGTGTCCAATTGAAAATAGAATTGATTGATGTTTTCCTAAAGAAATATTAATGCATTTGGTCCATAATGGTACCATTCAGTAAATAAGAACCACAGTGCACTTTGGTAGTTTGGGAACCTGAACTACTGTGGGCAGTTTGTAGAAGTTCCATCCATGTTTCCAAGAAATGTTTTATTCATAGGAGAATCCAGTTTGTTGGCTGCATTAGAATTCTAGGGTATAGTGAGGCTTACTCCTTTGCTTTGCCGAAGGTTCTTACTCCTTTACTATGCCGAAGGTTTTACACACTGTCTGCCCACCAGGCCCACCTGGGCACCTGTTAAATGATTGAATGTAAAATTAGCATCTCTTGATAAACTGATACTAGCTTAATTTTTTTCTTCAGATCTATATCCATGGAAATGCCTGAAATAAAACAGAAAACCTTCCACCTGGGTGAAACATTTTTAAAAAATGGCTTAAAAAAAAGAATGTATTTATGTGAGTTGAACCATAGAATTTATAGACTATAGTACTTCTTTTTGGAGAACAAAGTTCTGATATTAAGGTGGAGTGCCCTTTGAAAAGACTCACTGTCATAGACAAGAATGGGACAATGGGTTGGTTAAACTGTTACTGAGGACGCATGTAGTCACCGTAAGGTATTCCTCTAGGTGAGCATGGGGTGCAAACACTAATGCCGAGAAGAACTGGCGTGGCACTTCTCTCCCAAATGATACTGTTCACCACAGTAAATGTTTTCATCACTACACAGTATAGTCTTTAAAATGCTTTAAGTACATCTCTCTGTACTTTTATATTTTTCTCTTCCGCTCTGTAGCAAAATCACCAGGACAGCCAATACAAGTGGTTTATGTACCATCCCATCTCTATCACATGGTGTTTGAACTTTTCAAGGTGTGTAAAATAGTATTACATAACCTATATCAGTCCTTTCCTGAGTTTAGGAATCTGCTCTGAAAGTTAAATACTCTACGGGGTCTTCCTCACTTTCATCAAAAGGTGTCATTTCACATCAAAGGATGTCAGTTCAGCACCGTGTCATCTTCCTGGAGACCAGCCTTTGGTCAGCACTGATGGGCACCTCAGTGTGCTGGTGAGCTCAGGCTTGGGAGTGAGAAGGACCTGGGTTTGGATTCCAGGTCTGTCACTTAATTATGTGTGTGACCTTTGCCAAGTAACTCAACCTTTTTGAGCCTCAGTTTCCTCTTCTGGAAAACAAGGATAATACTATCCAGGTTATTATGAAGATTGGGTTTAACATACTAAATGTCCAGTACAAAGTAATTGTATTAGTTTCTACATCATAATGGGACCATTTCTGTTAATACTACATGAAAAATATTTTTTTCCATAGAGCAATTTGTGACAAAACAGTTCTTAAAGAGATGAAACTTTTCATAAATCAGGTTTTTCTGTTATCTACTAAATTGTAAAAGCATTTGGATAGAATTTTCTGCTTTAATGTAAACTAATTAAAAGTGTTGAGACATCTGTTTTTGCAAATATGCAGAATTTAGTTGGACTCTTTAAACCAAAATATCTGAAGTCCTCCAAAACTGATGATAATTTTTTTTAAAAAGGTAATTCTTTAAATATGGTTATAAGAATTATGATTCTTTGGCATACTTCCATCAAATTAAATTTTTTTAAATTTCAAGTAGTGCGTATATAGTTGAAAATTATAATTAGTTTTTCTGTCTTGTTTAACTTGTGTTTTTAATGGAAACCTAATGTATTTCAGAATGCAATGAGAGCAACCATGGAATACCATGCTGACAAAGGTGTTTACCCACCTATTCAAGTCCACATCACACTGGGCAATGAGGATTTGACTGTGAGGGTAAATGCTTCTTTTTTCCCTTTTAATTGATGTACAGGCATGCACATAATTTCTACAAGATATACTTTTTCTTAGGAGAAAGAAATCTGATCTCCCTAATAGCTAATAAGCATGTTCCTTCATTTATCTGGCAGATTATAGAATTATTCCTTAAATTTGTTTCTATTCTGATGATTCAGACAATTCAAGGTAAAGTAAATCCTGGAGGATTTAGCAGGATTATGAATATCCACTTTGATACCCACTTTAATACATAAAGTCTAAAATATTTGGGTATTTGCAGTGTTATGTAGATAGTATATAATTTTTCATTTTTAAATAGTGCTTTTCAGTTTACTTTTACTTTACTTATTTCATTGGATTCTCAGAATGACTCTTTAGTTCAGAGAACAGGTAATTTTCTTCTCAATTTTGCAAATAACTAAAACAGTGGTCAGGTTGTGATTACACAGTGAATAAGTGCCAGGCCTTTTCCACTACATTGTTCAGGTAGCCCAGTTTCCCAGAGTATGGTGATGTTTCTCTTTTTTAAATAATAATTTAAAATTTTGTTTTAAAGTAATAAATGCAGGAGGTATAAAACTCAAATATGTCAGTTCCTGGCCATTTGTGAATCATTACTGAAGACAGTCTTTTAGTTATTTCTTCGGGTGTATTGCTTTATTTTTATGTAGCATTTTGATATTGCTATTTCTGAAATTTAAAAAAATTTAAACATCAAATATTAGCATTCTGTTATGGTAGCTGAGGAATTAGGTCTCTGAGAGTTCCTCCCTCCTGTACCCAGCCATTTTCTCAATAGTTAGTTCATACTTAGAGTTCTAGGTTGAAAATAATAATCTTGAGGGTTTTAAAGGCATCTACTGTTTCTCTTTTCTTTAAGTGTATAATTCAGTGGTTTTTAGTATATTCACAGGTTGTGCAATTATATGACTGTCTAATTTCAGAACATTTTCATCACTCCCAGGAAAAATACAATGTCCATTTAGCTATTACTCCCCATTTTCCCGTCTTCCCAGTCCTTGGAAATCACTAATCTACTTTCTGTGTATGGATTTTCCTGTTCAGCACCTTTCATAAAAATGCAGTGACTGCTTCCAATTAGTATAATGTTATAGCATGTATCCTATATATATATATATATAGTTATAGCATGCATAGTTAGTAGCCTGTTATAGTGTGATATAGCATAATATAGCATTATTTTTATGGGTGACTAATACTCTGTTGTATAGATATAACACATTTTGTTTATTCATTCATGAAGTTGATGGACATTGGGTTGTTTTCACTTTTTGGTGGTTATGAATAAAGCTGCCACTCGTAGAAGTCTGTGTGTGAACATGGGTTTTCAATTCTATTACTTTATAGCTAGGACTTGAATTGCTTTTAGGTAACTCTGTGTTTAACTTTGAAGGAACTGCCAAACTGTTTTCCAAAGTAACTATCATTCTACATTCCCACCAACAATGTTTGAAGGTTCTCATTTTTCCACATGGTTGCCTACATTTGTTATTGTCAGTCTTTTTGATGATAGCCATTTTAATGGGTGTGAGTGGTATCTCATTGTGGTTTTCATTTGCATTTCCATAATGATTGATGATGTCAATCATCTTTTCATGTGCCAACTGTCCATTTGTATAAAGAAATATCAATTAAGATCCTTTGCTCAGTTTTTAAGTGGTTTGTCTTTTTATTGTTAATAAGAATTCATTCTGTCTATATATTTTCTAATGTAAACACTAGTGCCTGGTGAGCTATATGATTTGCAGATTTCCTGTTCTGTGCCTTTCACTTTCTTGATAATATCCTTTGAAACACAAAAGTTTTTCATTTTGAGGAATTCCAATTTTTCTTGTGCTTGTGCTTTCAGTGTCATATCTAAGAAACCATTTGCCCAATTTAGTATCACCAAAATTTATACCTGAGTTTCTTTCTAAGAATTTTATAGTTTTAGTTCTTACATTTAGGTCTTTAACCCATTTTTGAGTTAATTTTAATAAATAGTTTGAGGTAGGAAACTTAATTTCTTCCTTTTGCAAATAGATATCCAGTTGTCCTAGTACCATTTTTGAAAGTGCTATTCTTTCTTCATTGAATTTTCTTGTCGCTTTTGTCAAAAATCAAGTGTTCATAAATGTATGGATTTACTTCTGATTTCTTGATTCTATTCCATTAGTCTATGTATATGTCTCCCCTTATACTTGTCTTGATTATTGTAGCTCTGTTGTGAGTTTTGAAATAGCCAAATGTGAGTCCTCCAACCTTTTTCATTTCTACTTCAGGATTGTTGTGGCTGCTGTGGGTTCTATGTATTTTTATAAGAATTTTAATATTAGCTCCTCAGTTTCTGAAAAACAAACAAACACCAGCTTTATTTGACAGGGACTGTTCAATGTGTAGATTAATTAAGTCTTCTAATTCATGAACACAGGTTCTTCTCACTCATTTAGTCTTCTTTAATTTCTTTCAATAGCATTTTATGATTTTCAGTGTATAAATCTTGTACTTCTGTTAACTTTTTTCTTAAGTATGTTAATCTTTTGGGGGCAATTGTAAATGGAATTTTTAAAAATTTCATTGTTGGACTGTTCATTGCCAGTGCATAGAAATATAACTGATTTTTGTGTTCTGATCTTGTATATTGCAACCTTGTTGAGCTCCTTTATGAGTTCTAACAATTTTTTGTGGATTCTTTAGGATTTTCTATATACAAAGTCATGTTATCTATAAATAGAGGTAATTTTACTTCTTCCTCTCCAGTGTGGATTTTTTTCCATTGCTTCATTGCTGTACTAGAACTTCAGCACTGTGCTGAAGAGAAGTAGTGACAGGAGACAGCTTTGTCTTTTTCCTGATTTGGGAAAAGCTTTCAGCCTTCCACAATTAAGTATGATGTTAACTGTGGGTTTTTCATAAATATTCTTTATTAGGTTGAGAAATTTCACTTTTATTCCTAATTTGTTGAATATTTTTATCATGAAAGGATTTGGATTATGTCAGATGGCTTTTTCTGTATAGATCAAGATAATCATGTGGTTTTTGTTCTTTATCTATCACTTGGTGTATTAAATTGATTGATTTTTGTGTGTTGAGCCAAACTTGCATTCTTGGGGTGTGTACTTTTAGGGTTTTTTTTGTTTGTTTGTTTGAGGATTTTGCACTGATATTCGTTAGGGATGTTTTATTGGTTTGCAGTTTTCTTGTGTGATGTCTCTGCCTGGTGTTGGTATCAGGGTGATACTAGCCTTCTAGCACGTTGGGAAGTGATCCCTCCTTTTTTGTATATTAGAAGTTTGAGAAGGATTGGTGTTGATTCTTTTAAAAATATTTGGTGGAATCCAAACCTGAGTTGTTTGTTGTAAGATTATCTGAGCCTGAGTTGTAAGATTTTTAATTATTAGTTTAGTCTCTTCATTTGTTGTAAGTCTATTCAGATTTTCTATTTTTTATTGAAATAATTTCTGTAATTTGTCTAAGAATATGTCCATTTCACCTAGGTCACCAAATTTGTTGGCATACAATTGTTCATAGTATTCCCTTGTAATCCTTTTTACTTTTGTAAGATTGGCAGTAATGTCCTTTGTTTCATTCCTGATTTTATTAATTTGAATTTTCTACCTTTTTTTGTGGGGGTGGGGTCAGTCTAGTTAAAAGTTGTCAATTTTGTTAATCTTCTCAAAAACCCAACTTTTTGTTTTGATGATTTTTCTCCATTGTTCTCAATTCTTTATTTCATTAATTTCCACTATAATCTTTATTTCCTTCCTTTTGTTTACTTTGGAGTTGGTTTGCTCTTTTTTCAGTTTCTTTGGATAGAAATTTAGGTTATTGATTTGAGACATTTTTTGGCTAAAAATTTCCCTGTTGACACTGCTTTCGCTATATTCCATAAGTTTTTATGTTGTGTTCTCATTTTTATTCATCTCAAAGTATTTTCTAATTTCCTTTGTGAGTTCTTTGACCCATTGGTAATTTAAGAGTATGTTATTTAATTTGTATATACTTGTAGTTTCCCACATTTTGTTCTGTTACTAATTTCTAATTTCATTCCATTGTAGCCAGAGGTATAGTTTGTGTGATTTTAATCCTTTTACATTTATTGAGACTCGTTCTGTGGCCCAGCATTTGGACTCTCCTGGAGAACATTCCATGTGTACATGAGAAAGATGTGTATTCTGCCTTTGTTGCGTGGGGTGTTCTATAGATAGCTTTTAGGTCTTGTTGGTTTATAGTGTTGTTTAAATCTTCTGTCTTCCTGTTTTGTCTAGTTGTCATAGGCATTATTGAAAGTGGGTCATTGAAGTCTCCAACTACTATTTTGTGTCTTTCCCTTCAGTTTTGCCAGTTTTCGCTTTGTGTATTTTGGAGCTCTGTTAAATGTATATGTCTTTACAATTTTGTATCTTCTTGATGTATTGACCTTTTATCTTTGCCTCTAATAACAATTTTTGTCTTAAAATGTGTTTTCTCTGTTATTAATGTATCCACCCCAGCTGTATTTCGGTTTCTGTTTTCATGGTGTATCTTTTTTCAAGCTTTTATTTTCAACCTGTCTGTGTCTTTGAATCTAAAGTATGTCTTGTGTAGACAGCATATATAGATAGATGTTTTTTGAATCCATCCTGCTGATGTCTACTTTTTAATTGGAGTTACATTAACGTAATAACTATTAGTGTAGGATTTATTTGCCATTTTGCCATATGTATTCTGTGTATCTTATATCTCTTTTGAGTCTTTGTTTCTCCATTCCTGGTGCCTTTTTTGTTGAAATAATATTTTCTAATGTACCATTTTAATTTTCTTCTTGTTTTTTTATTTCTTTGAATTATTTGCTTAGTTCTTGTCCTAGAATGATAAGTAACATCTTTATTTATACAGATCTAGTTCAGACGAATATGAATTTCATTTCAATAGTATACAGAGGAGGGGAAATATGTTTACAGTTTGTATGGAAAATAATACAATAATTAATTAATAATACAAGAATAAACTGTTTC